GCCACATGAGTTTGGCAACCCGCCGACATGCGCCACCTTTTGGTAAGAAAGTCTCGGTATATGGCTCCAATGAGGGGTTAGATCCGCTGCTACATCAAGGCCTATGTATACCTCTTTCTGCAGCTGCATTTGCGGGAGTAGTGCTATTACCAGGAACCTAAACTAAATCTAGAAACGAGTTGATTACTTACTGAATTTGAAAGAGACCTACACTCCCTGATCAGTTTCGACTTTGATTTAGAAGACGTCAGTGCTTTAATATCCACCTGGTTATCCAAGAAAATGGCGACAAGCTCTTAGTCTTCTTAATTGCAGGGTTTTAGAGAAAACGCTTTCAACAACTCCTTTTTCCATTTTAGATCCGTACTTGGCCGGAGATATAAAGTTGCCCGTCCCAGTCGGTTCTCGACTGGGAGAAACGTCTGTGAAATTCAACTGCAGGACGTATGTAATCGACAGCCGGACTCATCTTGGACGGCAATCGAGAAATTATACTGCTCCGCATTTTATTTCCATATAGCCAGTACTCTGAATCTGGCAAATAGGTTTATAACAACATTGCGGGCGCCCGTAGGAGAAGTTCTTATTGCCTCTGTAGTCGGAATGCTTGCGGCCCTCTGAACTCTGCTTAGTTTACTTGATTATACTGGTTTCATGGGACTGTTCACCATAACAGGGAATCGTAGCATAATATCAGACGTACAACCGCTCACGTCGCCGCAAGTTTTTCCAAAAACCCGCTTGCAGAAGTCAGGAGTAATAGGTAATTTTAGCTTTTTTTTACTCGTTCTGCTTTATTTATTACAATTGTTATGTTCGATCCCTAGATGCAAGTGTTGTCTGTTTTTTTTTACAAGAAAAAAAAATATATATATGTCTCGCATTATGATAGATATACTATATACTAATATACATACATAAATCGCTTTAAATTTTTGAGTTTCTATTAAAGAAGATTTTACTCTTACTCATGTACTTTCAGTAGATTTATCTATGCCATGTAATATTTAACAAGAGAACTCTTTTTTTATTTAACTTTTAAGTTTTCACTAAAAACGATTCTATTTAATAGATACTGTCTCAATTCATTTATCTTCCCTAATAAAATTTACACGAGTATTATCTGTTAAAAGATAAGCATATACAATCAAGTTCTCTCTTTGAAATCTGTGAAATAAAGCTATTATACCGCTAATATACGAGTGCAATAACACACATACTATGTACATACTTTTAGTTGCCACTACCTTTTTACAACTACCGCACACAACCCACACACCAATGCCTAACTAACATCATCATTCCCATAATAGTAATTGCCGCTCGATCAGACACTTTGGCAGACAAAAAATCGATTCGTTATTTGTTAAATCGCATCTAAGTAGCAAATTTTATGGGTAAACACTAAAAATCAGCCATAAAATCAGTGTCAAGCGGTCGAACAATTGGCACAATGGCACAGATGGGGCATAAAGTAGTCGTCGATTTGCGCCAGCCACAAGCAGACAAAAGGGTAATAAAAGTAAACATACACAATGGCGTATATGCATATAGTTTTTATATGTATATGTTAACGTGCAATATACACACACACACACACACACACATTACATAAACACAACCCTGCAGTGAAAAAATATCATTTGATAAAATAACCAACTTGTAGCTAATTTTTTTGGTGGTTTTTCGAAAAAATAGCTCATTTTTAATTTGCTATGGCTGTAAAGTCATGCAGACGTCATCGGGAGTATTGTTTCTTTAAACAAATTTCTATTTAAATATCACGGTAGAAAAATTAATTTTTTTTCTGCACTTCAAAAATTATTTTTCGAAATTTTATATTACAACTACTAAACAAATATGTAATGTTAAATAAAGTAAAAAATAAAAATTGAAAAAAATCATGTATTTTTTTTTTTTTTTGATATTTTAAGTGCAAAAGAAGTTATCCATGTCTAAGTTTTGCGACCATCGCTCCACAAAAATTATTAGCTGTTTTCGAAAAAAAATATTCAGTTAATAGCCAGCGTTAGTCGTCGCGCAAACAGATTAAAGTTAAATTTATGCTAGCATCACTTCCGGCAGGGAATTTATACACACTGTGCGAGTATGTACACTAGGGTGGGCCTCCAGCCACCAGCCAGATCTGAAGAATATTAAAAATAAGGATACACTTATTTTTTTATTTTGAAATCGGTTAATATCTATTCGTGCGTGCAGTGAACGTGTATTTTACATGGGGAAAATAATTTTTTTTTTTGTAGAATAGCAATAAAATCGTTAAAAATAAATATTTTTTGATCGGATTAGAGTATTTCCCTTCAGAAGTCTTAAATAACACTATGATGCTTATTTAAATTAAAAATTTGATTGAGTGTGTTTTAATAACCGATAATCTAATCTGTTATATACAAAAATTAGTTATTTTATATTTTCAGAACCACATGATGCACGAACAGCTGAATGGGTGTGGTTAATTCTTTTTTGCATTCTACTCGTTTTTTTTCTGTAGGTTATATGTAGATATTTGAATTTTCAAAATTATTTAAAGGTCAATAAAATATTTAAGTTTCTTCATCAATAGTAAAAGCGTTTGAAAATATTTAAAAATAATTTTGAAATGGGTTGCCACCTTTCTAAAATAATAGAACAATTATTATTAAAAATTTAAGCTTATTCAATGCCACGGAAGTTGATTTTCCTATGTATTTTTGCGCCACCCTAATCTACATATATGTATGTATACATATTTGGGATTTGCGTAAATAAACGTTCAATGGTTTGCACTCTAACTAAGTAGTTGTATGCGCTCGATAGCACTCATGTCCATGTACCTAAGTATGTATTTACATTTGTGGCTGTTGTAGTTTCATTGTCAAGCGAAAATTTAATCTTCAATGAAACGATGGACGATAAAATAAGTACTATATGAAAGTAGCGCTGTGTATAAACTACTTGTAAATATATTGTATTAGTAAATTTCTCCATGAACACGTGAGTATTATATGTATGAAAAATTCAGCAAGTTGAAGACAATTAAGCTGTAGAATAGTGTAGTCCAAACCAAGCTAAAAATAACCTTTGTTTGCTGTAAATGTCAATTCAAGCAGCTCGTGTAAGCAGATCGTTGAATAATTGGCTATTTGATAATCATTGAAAGACGTTATTGGCCAGAGCTAACTTTCACAGCACTACTTAATTTTAAATATGTGATGTTTAAACAATAAAAAATTAAAAATAATCTCACCGGAAAATATTTCTTATTATGTAAAGTTAGATTATGAACCAAATTCACGGCATGAAACCAAAAGAAAATTTTAGTAAAATTTTCAAAAAAAAAATTAATTTTTAAAAATTCCAATTCAAAAATTCAAAAATGTGAATTTAAATTTTAAATAAATAATAATTTTAATAAATAAACCTCCAACAACAATTCACTTTGACCTAACTCTCAACATTTTTATCAATATTTTTCGATCTTCAATGTTTTCAGTTATTTAGGTTTCAAGAAATCAGATAAATATATATTAGAGAATCCGAAAAATTATATTTCCAGAAATAAAATTGTGTCGTGTTTTCGTTTTTCAGTAAATAGTTAACTATGTAATTTAAAATGATGTATCAATTTTTTGGTAAATTTTAACTTGCTAAATTTATATACATTTCAGTTCTCTGATATTTACAAAACATATTTTAAACACAATTTAATTTTTTTTTTTAATTGTCAGAAAAGTTATAAAAATTGATTTAAAAAATATCAATAGTAAAAACTTCAGAAAGAACTAATTTACGAATTATTTTCTGTATAAATTATAATTTTAGAAACCAATTCTCAATCCACAAAAACTGACAGCAAAATTTTATTTAAATCCATTCATCTTCAGAAATGAGAATACATTAAGCCCACAAAAAAAAAACAAATAATAATGCGCATTTACAAATATTTATTTGTTTTTAAACTGAAAGCTATAAAGCAAAAACGTAAAAAATTGCCTACCTTTTAACTAATCTGAAAATTTTCAGTAGAAAAATTAAATGTATGCCGTTGGAAGGAATAAAAGTGTCTATAATTTCAATTGGCATTCGTAGGTGTGTGCGCGTGTACATATGTATGTATGTATGTATATGTACACTCATATTGCAACATAAATAAGCTTACGTTGCTGTGTTTGTGGGGGGGGCACCACAAGGTCTCTAGTTGGCAATAATTTTACGTTTAACCATTTTATTTTATGTGTCATAGTGTTAGTAAAATGGCAATAAATAACATGAAAAGCCACTAAAATCAGCGAAAAAACGCAGAATAAGGCAAGCAGCAGTAAAAAAAAAAGCCATAACAACAGCAGCACAATGCAGCTTACCTTACAGTGTGTGTGTTTGCGGAAGGCCTAAAAATATGCCAGCATATTGGCACCTTTTAATGCCGTTACAAATACTTTCGCAAAAATAAACAAATTAAAGTGACCAGCTAAAACAATTTTTACGTTCATATGTTTTTATTTGTTTTTTGGTTTTATAGGTTTTTAGCTTTTTATATACACACATATGTATGTACTTTGTATTTGTGCTGCATATTTTTTGTGCTCGCGAGTGACAAATACATAAATAATAACACTAAAAATTGCTGTTTGTTGATTTATTTAGTGGAAGTACTTGCGTTTAAATCTCTGCAAATCCCACTAAATGCAACCAAATATTGTGGGATTTATTTAAACCGCAAATTTTCAAGCATTTGATTTTGCTCGCTTAATTCTTTTTTTTTTTTTTTTTTTTCAAAATTTTAAAAAAAAAAAAAAACGACAAAATTTTCAACTACAAACAAAAATTTAAAACTACTTCAATAAAAGCTGTGATTTTTGCCTAATAAAATATTGATATATTTAAACGCACTAAAAATTCATGGAGTTCTAACTGCTTTCTTAATCGAAATTGTTTTTTATAAATAACAGAGAAATTTAAAAGCTTTATTGCAAATTTTTGTTTATTTGTTTTTCTTACAGTGTCCAGTCCGCCAACAACATTGCCGCCGCCAACCACAACCACAACACGTCGCACCACAATAGCACCAGCCTGGGATATTTTCAGTACGCCAATTTATGGCATGATGCCAACAAATTCGGTGATTGTCATCGATAAATGTAAGTTTCTGATAAATCTCACTCAAATGACGTGAGTCAAAATAGGGCAATACAAATTTACAGTGGGCAGAAGTAAAAAAAAAAAAAAAAATAGCATCATGCAGTACGCTACAACTATACATGTATACTTTTGTGATTATTTTAATGCAAACAAATTTTGCAAATACGTGTCTTTCTCTAAATGGTATGACAGTTTTGTGTGGTGCAAAATACTTAAGCTTGAAATAGTGATATAACATATATCGGTTGAAAGGAATGATGAATAGTTATTATGAATTAGTAGTCATACAAATTTTAGCAGAAAATGAAATGGATGTCTCAGTTTCAAGGGTTCACTACTACACACATATGTACATTACCGATGATGTACTCTAATGTGTATATGTAGCAGTGATGGGCATATATAAATAATTTGCTATTTAAAGTGCTTCTATGTTTGAGTTCTTAAACATTTGAGCGTTCAGAAAAGGAAATTATAATTGGCAAAGTTCTCTCTCTTTTCTACATACATATATGTATACACAAATTCACTTGTGGTCAGCTGATTAAATTAAGTGACATTTTGATAAGTTTTGGCAATTTTTCTTTTGTCTATTTAATGCTTATAATTTTTGAAGTGAAACTTTTGTAGCGGCGGTTGATTGGTTGGGTGTAAATTGGCAAATTCAACGGAAATTGCACACGGAAATGGTGCAACGGAAGTTGTACACGGAAGTTGTACACGGAAAATGTGTGGGGCTGAAACAAGTGATTTTTATCGATATTCTTATTGATCATTGATTTTGTTATCGATATTGCTATCGGTATTGTTATCGATTGTGCTATCGATATTTTTATTGTCTTTGTTATCGATTTTGAAATCGATATTTTTATCGGTTTTGTTATCGATTATATATCGACTTTTTTATCGATTTTGTTATCGATACTTTTATCGATTTTATCATAGAGATTATTGATTTTGCTATCGATATTTTTATCGATTTTGTTATCCATATCGTTATCGGTTTTTGTTGTCGATATTTTTATGGGTGTCACTGTCCGATTTTGTTATCGATAGAAGAGTATAAAGATAAAAATGAAGATAAAGGAAAACAGAATAACATGATGTATGTATGTATGTACGTGTGTAGTATATTGGTTATGAGACAAACTACCCTGCAAAAATTAGAGGACCAAGTGGTCCACTGGGCCCCGCGAAGCTAAGCAAATTTAATGTTTGAAAGAGAAATAATGTCAATGGATTTTATTTCGTTTTGAAAAAGGTAATAATGTCAATTGACTTTATTTCACACCAGGGTGGGAAATAAAGTCAATTGACCTTATTTCCGTTGATCTTATTACCTGTCACCCAAACGAAACGGTACTAAGAAATCTTTAGTTTCAGCATTTAGAATATATTAGAATAGAAAATAATTTATACAACCTCACATACGCAGTTTTGCATTATCTTGCATTGCATTTTGTTGATACGCGGTTTTGTACTTTAAACGACGATGTGTATCACAATGTCAGACGATGGAGATTTAAAAACAGTTTTACTGAATAATTTTAATTAAAGGGCTGCAATTCTATTCCATGTTTGTTAAATTTTATTCATTGAAATAATCTATTGAAAACAAACGCAATGAAAACTGCATTTACCTTTTTTTGTTTACTCTCAATTAACCCACAAATAACCGGGCCTTTGTTTCCTTCCATTTCAGTGGGCACGAAGTACCAATCAAATCTGAATGAAATTGGAAAATCGGAACAGAAGCTAACAGGCGAAAACCCAAAAGGATATGACTGGACAAAGGATAAAAGTGTAGCTGCAAGAACGCAATTGTGGCTGCAATATGCCAACAATAATAACAACAACAACACACCTCACATACAACGAATATTTTGTAATTATGCAATGCTAATTGCGTTTGCCGGCATGCTGGCAACGATGTGGCTGCAGCCAACACTCAGCACTGCAACCTTAACAGCAACGGCAACGGCAACAAAAACCAAAACAATAATAACAAAAACAGCAGCTTCGCAAACAAAAGCCGCAAGAATGGCCGCTGCTATAGTAATAAGTGCAAAAAATTACAAAACAATACATACAGAGCTTACAATTGAGATGGCGCTCACGCAGGCAACAATGCCAATGCCTTTGCAGCGCAATGATGAGGACGATACGCGTAGCATAAGCATAGCATATAAACAGGCGTAAGAGCGCTTACGTATTTTCGGTTGCATGTAGCGAAAAATCAAATTTTTGCACACCCTCACTAACAAACAAACAAACAAACAAGCCAAATAATCACCACAGACACACGCACGCGCGCACTAACATATTGATCTACATTTTACATACTACATACATATTTATGTTTGCATATGTGTGAAATTAAAACCAGTAAAGTGAAATGTGTAACAAATGCATGGAATTGGATGCGGAGTGAGGTGTATATTTATACACACATGTGTATGTAAGTAGGCATTTGCTTTTTGCTTTTTATTGTAGTTTTTATAATAATTTTGCTTTTGCATTTAAACCCAACGTCCCCTCCCCCCCGCCCCCTGGCCCGACTCGCCTCACAATTTTAAAGCTTGGTGCTTATTTACATTTTTTATATTTTTTACTGCTTTTCATTACTTTTATTTATGTATGTGACATATCATTACTTTGTAATTTAATTAATTAAAATTTGCCATCTAACATTTTCATTTGAATTTTCATTCGCATCTCATTGAAATCATTAATGAATTGGCTGCTCTTGTTTTCTTGCATTTTATAGTCGAAAATTCTCTCAGTTTTGAACACACTTACATTGAATGGCCGACAATGCCAAAAAATAAATGTGCCAATTGTTTCAAAATGAAAACAACAACAAAATGAACGAATTATGCTAAAGAGTATCCTGTAAATAATATATGTATATGTAAGCACTGTATGCATATGTAACATATGTATGTCCCAAGGAAATAATAATAATAATAATAAAAAACTTAATAAAAAAAATTAAAATAAAATAAAATAAAAAAATAATTAAAAATATCTACACTAGCTAAGAACTCATTCTATAAAAAATCGAGCGTCTATACAAAACTAAAAAAAAATCTTAAAAGTGCAGTATTTTGGGAAAGTGCTTATGTATAAAAAGAAATTTTTGAAAAACCTTTGTGAACAATATAGATTTCGCAGCTTAAAATTTGATTACGTTTTGCATGCAATATTATTTTCTAATTTGATTCCCTTGATTCTTGGCAAATTTGTTTGTCGATATACAAATGTATCGATATCTTATTCGATTAATTTATCGATACCTCAATGGATACGTTTATCGATATCTGCTGCTGACATTACATAGTCAAGTTATTTTTTTTTTAATACTTATTAAATTAATTAAATAATTCATTTTTAAAATTTTTTTTGCTTGCTTCTTTTTCGCAAATTTATTTGTACTTTTCTTTGCCTCATTTGTTTATAGATAAACAAATTTTGTCGGTACCTTAAGCGATTAGTTATGAGTACTGTATTCATTAGATTGTCGCGATATGTTTAAAAATATTTATCGATATAGTTATCGACACATTTTTCGATATTGGAAACTAGTTATTTTGTATTCGTTTTCTTGACTGCCTTTCTTCTTGCAAATTTACTTAACGATATTCAATATACATATATCATTGATGCATGTATCCATAACTTCAATGATTATTTATGAATTCCGTTATCGTTTGATCATTGTGCTATATTCAAAACTTCGTTCAATATAATTATCGATAGTTTTTTTTTCGATATTCTAATCGAAAATTGTCAATTTGTTAACGATGTACACATGTGCCGATAGTGTTATTGAAATATTATGGATTTGAAAAATATTTTTTCATATTCGAAAATAGTAGATTTTATTTTTTTACTTGCTTTTTGATCCCAAATTTATTTATACTTTTCCTTGCCTCATTTCTTATAGATATACAAATTTATCGGTATATGTCAATCGATACATTTATCAATATCTACTACTGACGTTACTTAATCAAAGTTTTTTTTTTAAATAGCAAACTTATTTATTCTTTTCCCAGCTTCTTCAGCCTTAGATCATCGCTTTAGCTTTAAACATATTTATCGATATAACTATCGATACATTATTTTGTATTCTTTTGCTTGCCACACCTTCTTGCAAATTTTTCGATATGCAATATATATCGAGATATTAATTTATGCATATATCGATAACATCAATGATTATTTATAAATACTGTTATCGTTAGATCATTGAGCTATATTTAAAAATTCTGTCGACATTAATATCCATAGTTTTTTGCGATATTATAATCGATAACTTATGAATCAGCTGTTGATATTGTACCAGTGATTGAACTTCGATGCTAAATACCTACTGTTAGGATGCACATCCAAGGAGCAATCTATTGCGGTCACTTAATATGATGGACCGCCTGAATATTTGTACTTTACAAAATGCGAATTGAACTTTAAACTGGTCTGCCGTCCTATTAAAATGCATCTGGTCTTCTTCACTGGAAGTTATAAGCTACCTCTTGAGTACTTGGGCTTGATCTTATGTATGTAGATGGGAGGCTGTTGTGGACCGCCCTTATTTTATCCTGTGAGCCACTTCTAAAAACTCCCGATGTTGCGGTGTGGCGCACTTCATGTACAGCCTGCTCAGCATTTAGACACTGATCAATGCATGGCTAAACTGGCACCAAGCAACTCTTTCTCAACTGGCTTTTTTCCAAAAAAAATAAGCCGGCTGAAGGCAGAAGTTGGAAGGAAGTGCCGTTAAACTTTTAACCAGATGGGTCAAATCTTGAAGGATGGAGATATCTTTTGTGGGCGATTTTCTACCAACCTTAAATAAAGCCTGCCAGATCAATGCAGTGCTTGCGATTAATTAGGCATTTAAATTGCGCTGAAAGCTAAACACATTTTTGGTTTCCCCGTTAGTTTTATATGGGAACCAGACCGCAATAATGTTGAAGGAAACTAAGTGGCATATGGTTTGTCCACTAAGGATGGGGTATCTATGAAAAATGAATGAGTTGGAGTGCACTTAATTACATGTGGACACGTGGTGCGGGTATTGAACTTTTCCCGAGCCTAGCCCATTTCCTGGATTCAACAACAAGTAGGCAATAGCCTGCACTCTTAGCCATTGGAACAAGTTTTCACCCTTACTTCACCATAACCATAACCATCCCTGCTTAAGGCAACCATTTAAGCCTTTTATGACCCAGTCAAATATGCCTTGCCTTGCGTATTTTATAGTAAATATTGGGAAAGCTTAATATGTAATTTAAGTTATATTAAGTGACGATTATAAAATGTTCATCATTCATTAGGACTCAAACTAATACCTTTCGTTTAATTTAAGCCTCCTATTCAAGCCAACTTCTCAGTAGTTTCACTACACTTGTACTAAACTTTTCTTAACGGATCATCGTTCTGTTCTCGTGTCTTTTCAACCCGGAGGAATTCATTTTCCTTACCCACGCTATTTTGAGATCTTATGGAAGACCTTTATTACTCAAAAGCGATCGCACATTGAAGGTGAATTGCTCCAAAATATCAGTTTATAATATCTTGAGTGCAAACTACGTTTTGTTCTATTTTTTTTTTTTTGACAGAAATCAGCCCGAAAATCTACTCCATTTTAAGTTCCATTTTCTTTATTCCTTTCGCTTCTAATCCCATCTAATATTAATTACTATGATAGAGTTATCAATTCGTCTTCATTCTTTCAATGCTAAGCATGCTTTAGATATTTATAATTATGATTTTGGGATTGGCAAATACTAAGGGGCTAGTGGCGCATGTATTTAATTAACTTATTCATATTCTGGTTTTTGGCCAACAAAAATAAAATAATAAAAATACTTATTCGCAGACATGCCACTGCAGTAACAAACCCGTAACATTGCAGACCATGCAAGATTAGTGCTTTTGAAATTAGGTAAAAGAATAGTTATACAAACATAAACCGCGCGTGAATGTTTGCGGCGCACAGCTTTGCTTGATTGAATATACTAAAAATAACTATAAAACAAAATAAAAATAAAAAAAAATATACATAAAGCTAATGGTTGAATAATTATAACAATAATACAAGAAATTAAATATATATTAAAATAAAATAAAAAATAAAACCAAATTAGTTGAAATCAAATGTATATGAACAATCGTGGGTACGTATGTACATAAGTGAGCTAAGAACTTAGACTAAGCAATTGAAAACAGGCCAAACTCAGATTACACCTACTTACATATATACAAATATATGTATACATGCATAGAGAAATGCTGAAAATATAAATAAATAGAGTAATAAAATTTAAGAAAAAATACGGCATAAATATATAATTATTATAAATAGCAGTTACTAAAGTTTATTGCATTTAATTTAATAATAAGAAGCTATTGCTATATAGTGATGTCGTGCATTTGATGAAACATTCAAATCAAGAGCGCTGATATTATCAAATCAAGCAAGAACATAACCGTTAATATAGAGACATATGTATGTATAATTAAATAAATAAATTTGAAATAAATACCATACAAAACTAAATAATGACTGGCGTCAATATGAATTTTGGGATTTAAAAAAAATGCATGTGAGGCCGTGGGAGCTGGAGTAGCCTAGCTGACATACAAAAAAAAAAAAAATAAAAATGCATTACTAGAATGAAAACTGTAATAGCCCGCGGCACGCCGGGCTATATATCAAAAAAAAAAAAAAAATAAAATTATGCAGATTGGCTCTTCTGGCTTTTTTGGAGTCATTTGTACATATATTGTTCGAAGAGTACCATTGAAGATATGAAAAAGACAAAAAATTTAAAGAAGGCGGCTTCATAATTCTATCCAATAAACAGAACGAATGGCGAATATTAAAAAATGGTAAGAAGTATCTCATCGTTTGTGCTACACACTATATATAGAGAAGTACTACTGGACAGGATATTGCGGGAAAGTTCGAAGAGCTCCTTTGCCTTGGAATCCAATTAGTATTGATTAGTGTTAAAAATTGCTATGCCTGGGGCTGAAATGGAATGTGAACCTGGCATGAACCACCTTGATATCATCAGTGATGGGCATACTTAAGTAGTTTTGTATTTAAATTACCAGTCTCGGTACTAAATACTCAATTACTTAGATTTTGGAGATGTCTAAATATTCAATAAAAAAAATCGAATATTTAGGAATTGCTAAATACTTTAGGAAAAATATTTAGGAATTTGGGGGTTGGTAAACACTCAAGTAAATAATACTTTAGGTTTTTTAGAAGCTTTTTGATACTTAAGTTCAAAAAACTAAAATATCTAGTAGGCGCAAAATACTCTGGTACAAAGTTCTTAAAAAATTCAGGTACTTTGGAGATGCAAAATACTTTCACTAAAGTACTAAGGTATTTAGTAGATGGCTTAATGCTTACAAACTGAATACCTAATGATTTAGGGAAAA